ATCGGTTCTTCTATTCTCTCCAAGTCAATTTAATCCAGTGGACTGCAATATTTTCAATTGCAATGATTTTATTTTAAATTGTAGAAGTCTTACAAGTGACATGAATTAAAGTTTTACTGGTGCAGGTAGTTGTGTCCCTAGTGAAATGGGGCAGCTGACCTGCAAGGGAGAGGTTGATATATAAACAGGCTCTGTGTGTGTGTGTGCGTGCTTGTGTGTGCAAGTGAATGCATAAGGAAAAGTAAGTGTGTGTGTGTGTGCCCGCGCGCACACGCAAGTGTATGTGTGCGTGGGTGCAAGTCAGCGCATAAGGAAAAGTGTGTGTGTGTGTGTGTGTGTGCGCGTGTGCTTGTGTGTGTGCGTGTGTGTGTGTGCACGCGTGCGCGTGCATGTGTCCGCAAGTGAATGCTTAAGGAAAATGTGTGTGTATATGTGTGCGTGCATGCGCACGCTAGTGAATGCATAAGAAAAAGTGGGTGTGGGTGGGTGGGTGCGTGCAAGAAAGAATGAGTGTGTGTGTGTGTGTGTGAGAGAGAGAGAGAGAGTGAGTGAGTGTGTGAGTGATTGAGCGAGCGAGGGAGAGTGCATGAGAGTGAGAGTGTGTGAGTGTGTGAGAGAGAGAGAGAGAGTGTGTGTGTGCGTGCGTGCGTGCGTGCGTGTGTGAGTGTGTTATTGTGTGAGAGAGACAGAAGAAGGGGCACGTGTGTTCGAGCATGTGTGGATGCGTAAGTGAATAGCACTGATTGCTGCCTGGGCTTGAAGCTCATGCTGCTGCCAAACCCCCTTGTGTTTGATTGCAGAAAGAGAATTTTAAGATTAGGCATTGATTATATTGATCTGTGTTTACAGTTCACTTTCCCAGAACAGAAATATGCACAAAATTATGCAGTTCCCATAGGCTCTGAGCCGAGTAAAAGAAATTAAATGAGTGAATAAACTTTATATACTTCCATTGTGAAAGACAATGTTGATTTGTGATATGTGAACGCCATTGGCGATTAATAATTTTGCTGACACAGTACAATGTTCATCCGCAAATATAGTGGAGATTGCGCCCCATACACGTCTGATAACCTGTTCCTTGTTAATCATATCTATTTATCCTCAATGTTATAAATTTTTATCCTTCCATTATGTGCCTCTTACCCTGAAGTATGACACATTGTTCTGACTTGTCCAGTGTTTTATATTCCGTTGTGTACATGGGAGTTCTGTTCGGCAGTAATGGGGCGCATAGATTGTAAATTATTGTTTTACTATGGAGCAAGAGCTGTGCCTCAGAGCCTTCCAGTGCCCGGGCTGTGGCAGGTAGGGGGAACCCTGCTTCAATGTATGCATCACCACACCCTGTTGACCCACCCCCATCCTCCTCCTCTTTAGTCTTATTAGTTATTATTATTATTATTATTATTATTATTATTATTATAATTATTATTATTATTATAATTATTATTATTCATAACTATCAGTATAATATCACTGTCACCATCGCTACCACCGTTGCCATAATCATTACAAACATTGTCATTATCATATATTATCATCATCATCATCATCATTATTATCAGCATTTTCATTGCCATTATAATTTTATGATTACTATTTTTATTGTTGTTGTTATTGCTATAGTTATTATTATCATTATTATCTTTATTAATTGGGTGAATGTTCTGACATACAAAATTTTCAACTTAATTTCTAGCTCTTGATTTTTTATTACACCCCATTATTTTATTGGTTATTTTTATCTTAAAGCAATCAATTCTGTCCCAATATTATAAAACCATGTATTCAGTCCATCTCTTGACTTCTTGTTAATGCTTTTTAACAACTTCTGTCTACCTATTATTTATATTCTTATTATACTTTCCATGTATTTACACCTTTTTCCTGCCTTTGATCCTTAGTAAGATTTTGCAGTTGGTTGCTTTTACGATCCTGGAGATTTAGAATAAAATGTTTCATTTTGAATTTCATTTTAACCTTCTTGTCATTCATCTCCAAATAAGTTAACTTCAAAATCATACTGATCAGTTTCATTTCAACAGCAGAGATATCTAATATCCCAAAATTTCTCATTATTAAGAGAATTCCAGACAGTGGGTGTACATACATAATATTATTCTTTGACACTCAAACCATTTTACTTTGACCTACACCCTTTAATTACCAGCCATTTTTAGGGTTTGGTAACATGTGGAGGTTTTGGGGGTGTTGGTGAGCCTCACCTTAACCACTCACACATACAAGCCCGTCTTTATGGAAAGTGTCCTTCCTATACCCCCACACACTCTGACCTTATTTATTATGACTTAAGTAGTGGTACCATTTCTGTGTTTGGGCGCCTGGTGTAGAGGAACCCAAAAAAGCTGTACAAAAGGACAGTCTTATTTCAAATCTATGCCAAGATTGTAGCTACAATAAGTAAATGAATAATAACACATGCACAGTTTGCTGTTTTACAGATATATCATGTACATAATAAAGTATTTCTTATGTTTTCATACGTTTATCTATCCTTGAAAATGTAAAATACTTTTACAAAATATAGAGAAAATTTGGAGATACTGCATGTAATGATTGTCAATTTTTACCAAGACTTAAGAATCGTTAAGTAGCCTAATGAGATTTCCAGAAAAAATTCAGAGTAAATGAATGTACTTATTAATAGTTCCTTTGTGTTGGACGATATTGATGATATAGAGGCAATTATATCAATGGCTCAGTGGATATAAGGTGTCTTTCACCAGACACCGCGTTGAAACGGCGATACCATAATTTCCTGCCAATAGCAGAGCTGTGGAAAAGAAGCCTCATTTCGTGTAGGCGTTCTCTGGCTTGCCTTAAATGGTGGCCACCGACGGGTCGGGGAATGGGCACGTGTGGCACACAGATAATGTTTTTCTTGGTTCGAGGAATTAAGAAATATATGAGAAACATATTTCAGGATTTCCTGAATATGGTGTACGCATAGACAAAACGGAGAAGATAAACTTTATCAAGAAAATAATAGCGGTCTCTCTTCTATTCTCTCCCCTTTCCCTCTTCTCTCCTTTCTCTATCTTCTTTTCTCTCCTAACTCCTCTCTTTCTACTTTCCCTAATCCCCCCCCCCCCTAATTCGCGCATTGAATCGCATCGATAGCATCTCCGATCCCACGCGAACTTCCCGCGAGGCCGGTCGGGGAAAGTTGAAACCGACTTCCACGCGCAAAATACTTGCGAGTTGTTGCTATTCAGTGTCGAGAGTCTCCAGTCCCAATGCATTTGTTATGTAGCAGATAAACTGCCTAGGGAAAGACCAATTACTGTTCAGCATTAGAAGAGGATTGGAGAAAAAATGGAGTTACAGGTTTGTTTATTTTGACAACAGCAAAAATAGGTTAATAAAGGTGGCATGTCCCTTTTATAAAATTATTCCTTTACTAGTTATGTTAAAGTACACATGGATTACTTCGTAAATATGATTAAAACCACTGATTGGAGGTAAATTTCATTAGGAACTTCTACCTCACCTGACTGCAAGTATTGCAGTCGTATGTGAGCATTATTGTTAACTCGTCGCGAAATCAAGTTTAGCTATTCTGTATAGGTTAAAGTAATTTGCTGACGAAATCGTCCAGTCAGGTGGGAGTATAATGGTAAACTAAATATATATTTACATACTTATAGCCTATTCAGGGCAATCAATGTTACGTTTATATATCTGTGAGCTACAACCTGGAAAGTACCTCTTCACAATTTCCATGAAAATTGCGGGCGTGCGTCGTGACTCGTCAAACCGAAACCAACAGAACCTCGCTTCCTTACCGCGGCAGCCCTTCCCGCATCGCAAATCGCATCGCACCACGTTCGTGTGGCCGAGACCGGAATTTACGACAGCTATATCTGAAGAAAGTGTCAGATTTGCCGATAATTTCCAAGTGCTGTTTTCTTCAGTCTTGCAATGTGCCATGATTAAGGTTTGATAGAGACAGGCGTTCGGTAAGATCGAAGGGTTGTACTATAAAAAAGGCAATGCAATGCGAACTCCCAGTTATTACCATGAGACCATTCTTTCCCTTTGCCTGGCGTTGTCAATCGCTTGATTGTGATCCCGTTTCTCCAGGTGTTCGTGTCAGACAGTTTCCTTTATCGCCACTTTCAAAAGTATTTTTCAGTATAGTTAATTAAAAGGGATGCAGTAGAATTATCCTGAACCTGAAAATATTTACACCGATAGTTACTATATCAGGAATAATTTTTAAAAGTGATAAAACGTTTTCCGATCTAAAATATATAACTATGCTCCTTAGTGAAGATATGAGATGGCATTCGCGACTCCAGGCCTCAGCGCTCCGGCAAAGGCCAACAAACTTAGTAATGTATATTAAACATCGCAGTGCTTGGACTAGTTCATGATTTCAGGAGTAATTACCAGATATCAGGAACCTATGTCTTGCCAGAATACCTGCATTGGAAGTTTACTGGCCATAAGTGGATGCTGTGGCGCATAGGCGTAGGAACCAGGGGGGCTGGGGGGGGGGGGCAGGAGCGTAGATAGGAAAATTCATAGAGGGGGCGAGAAATGAAGATATCCCGACAAAAATTTGACACATTCTCATTTTTGATTATTTTGAACATAACATAAGGCCACTAGAACTAAACGAAACAGAAAACAACCATCGTTATTTTTCCGACAATTGCAGAAATTTTCCGATAAAATGGCAGTTTAGCCTTATAGGTGGGTTTTTCGCCCCCCTCCCCCCAGACCCCCTCTATCTACGCCACTGGTGGCATTCATCACAAATTTTCTGGCAGGGGAAATTTCTCTTCCTCTTTCACTCGGGCAGAAAATTTGCAGCCCCCCCCCCCCCCTAAATTTTAAATGCCCCTACGCCGATGCCGTAGCGGTCGCTTGAAAACACACTACTGTCGTAAAGGATTTTTTCGAGGTCAGCAGAATTTACAATTGTTATTTGCTTGATTTTAGCGGAATAAATCGTCCAAATTAGTACATTTATAATACATACCCAATAATTTCCAAAATACATGCCACCCTATTTCTAAGTGTTCTAGCCTATCTATAACTTGAAAGTCGGATTCTTGTTGTTGGAGTTATTTATATATAATATATATATATGTGTGTGTGTGTGTGTCAATGTTACGTTTATATATCTGTGAGCTACAACCTGGAAAGTACCTCTTCACAATTTCCATGAAAATTGCGGGCGTGCGTCGTGACTCGTCAAACCGAAACCAACAGAAGCTCGCTTCCTTACCGCGGCAGCCCTTCCCGCATCGCAAATCGCATCGCACCACGTTCGTGTGGCCGAGGCCGGAATTTACGACAGCTATATCTGAAGAAAGTGTCAGATTTGCCGGTAATTTCCAAGTGCTGTTTTCTTCAGTCTTGCAATGTGCCATGATTAAGGTTTGATAGAGACAGGCGTTCGGTAAGATCGAAGGGTTGTACTATAAAAAAGGCAATGCAATGCGAACTCCCAGTTATTACCATGAGACCATTCTTTCCCTTTGCCTGGCGTTGTCAATCGCTTGATTGTGATCCCGTTTCTCCAGGTGTTCGTGTCAGACAGTTTCCTTTATCGCCACTTTCAAAAGTATTTTTCAGTATAGTTAATTAAAAGGATGCAGTAGAATTATCCTGAACCTGAAAATATTTACACCGATAGTTACTATATCAGGAATAATTTTTAAAAGTGATAAAACGTTTTCCGATCTAAAATATATAACTATGCTCCTTAGTGAAGATATGAGATGGCATTCGCGACTCCAGGCCTCAGCGCTCCGGCAAAGGCCAACAAACTTAGTAATGTATATTAAACATCGCAGTGCTTGGACTAGTTCATGATTTCAGGAGTAATTACCAGATATCAGGAACCTATGTCTTGCCAGAATACCTGCATTGGAAGTTTACTGGCCATAAGTGGATGCTGTGGCGCATAGGCGTAGGAACCAGGGGGGCTGGGGGGGGGGGGCAGGAGCGTAGATAGGAAAATTCATAGAGGGGGCGAGAAATGAAGATATCCCGACAAAAATTTGACACATTCTCATTTTTGATTATTTTGAACATAACATAAGGCCACTAGAACTAAACGAAACAGAAAACAACCATCGTTATTTTTCCGACAATTGCAGAAATTTTCCGATAAAATGGCAGTTTAGCCTTATAGGTGGGTTTTTCGCCCCCCTCCCCCCAGACCCCCTCTATCTACGCCACTGGTGGCATTCATCACAAATTTTCTGGCAGGGGAAATTTCTCTTCCTCTTTCACTCGGGCAGAAAATTTGCAGCCCCCCCCCCCCCCTAAATTTTAAATGCCCCTACGCCGATGCCGTAGCGGTCGCTTGAAAACACACTACTGTCGTAAAGGATTTTTTCGAGGTCAGCAGAATTTACAATTGTTATTTGCTTGATTTTAGCGGAATAAATCGTCCAAATTAGTACATTTATAATACATACCCAATAATTTCCAAAATACATGCCACCCTATTTCTAAGTGTTCTAGCCTATCTATAACTTGAAAGTCGGATTCTTGTTGTTGGAGTTATTTATATATAATATATATATATATGTGTGTGTGTGTGTTGTGTGTGTGTGTGTGTGTGTGTGTGTGTGTGTGTGTGTGTGTGTGTGTGTGTGTGTGTGTGTGTGTGTGTGTGCTTGTTTTGTAATTTATACATATCTCTGTGTGCATACATGTATATATATTTATTAACATATACATATGTATACTTAGATAGATAGATAGTTTGACCTGTGTGTGCATGTAAATATATATATTTACACACACACACGCACACACACACACACACACACACACACACACACACACACACACACACACACACACACACACACACACACACACACACACACATACACACATATGTATATATGTATATGTATGTATATATGCATATATATATATATATATATATATATATATATATATATATATATATATATATATATATATGTATGTATGTATGCATTTATATATATATATATATATATATATATATATATATATATATATATATATATATTAAGGCAGTTTATTATAATAAAATAATGATGAACGGTTTTGACTCACATTTTGATATATGTAGTTTCTTTTCAGGATCAGCAGTACTATCCCACCTGCAGCTCTTGACAACACCTCGATGGATGCAATAAACAATGAAAAATACAATTTCTCTAATTAACCCAGCAAAATTATACTTATTGCAATTACATTTGCAACTCACAGAAATATGTCTGAAGGACATGGATCCCCATGCAATAGTCTTTTCAAAGATATATGAATATGTAAACCTATAATCATGAGTTATAGCAAATAAGATTTCAAACATTCACCTAAAACTGAACAAGGAACAAATACAAACTCTGGAACTTTAGCCAACACCTGATCCGAATTCCGTTTTTTTCCAATAACATTTGTTATATTTTATACCTGGGATTGAGCAGAGACAGAGACAGCGTGTTGCTCTTGTGGGGA